GAAATCTGATCTGTGATGCGACTGTCGTTTGGCACGCTGCATTGAGCAGCCGCGTTCAGTTTTTAATTGTAGTGTCTGTACTTTTACTGGACTAAATTATTTTTATTACTATAAAAAAATCAAAACGACGGTGGGGGTCGGTGACGCGGTGGGCAAGTGACGTAACCAATGTTGCGGCTTAATACCGGTATCACCGTCAGCACCGTCTATCACGGCAAGCCTACTCCAGATGTTAACTGATGGACTGGAGTGCTGTGGATTACTTGTGGATTATTGTGATGTTTTTATCAGCTGTTTGGTCTCTCATTCTGACGGCACCCATTCACTGCAGAGCATCCATTGCTGAGACACTGATGCAATGCTACATTTCTACAAATCTGATGAAGAAACAAGCTCACCTACATTTGGGATAGTTTGCGGAAGAGTACATTTTCAGCCAAATTTAATTTTTGGTTGAACTATTCTTTTAATGTCGCAAAGTTCATTCGTTAGGGGTTGAACTCAGTTCAACTATAAAGCAGCACTACAGAGGAAAATACGTCAGTTCAGTGTTGATTCAGTGCAATAATAGTGCAGAGTTCATCAAATTATGAAGCAAGCTTATTAGGCTCAATTTATGTCCAGTTTTAACATCTAGGACATCTAACATCAACATTATCAGGGCAGCCGATGGGCGATATATGATGCCGGTATGTTTGGCCGATTTTCTTTCTTTTTTTTTTTTTTCCTTCATCTCATAAAAGTGAGTTTGAGTAAATGATTATTGCAGGGTACAAGATAGTAATAGTAGTAGTCTAATTCAGAGTACTAATACATAGCTCAAAACTTAAGCACCTTCTCAAAACAGTTCTGAAGCATGCTTTTTGTTTATGTTTGCTGACAGACACCAGTGTTTCCCACAGACTTGCAAATGCAAATTAATTCTCTGCCAGCAGGAGGCGCTGTTGGAGCGGGAGCTATAGCGGTTTCCCCGGCTGTAATCAAATAAGCACTGCACTCACAAACGCTACTTTATCGGGCATTACAGGAAAGACGAAATGAAAATGACACCGAAGCTTTTCTGAAGACGGTCGGTTCTTTTCAAAGATACATTCATTCATATAAAAACACCAGCGATGCATTTTAATTTTGAAACGTGCAGTGCTCCGTTTATTCAACGAAGTAATAACTCAATGTATGGGAAACACTGGACACTGCTATAAGTCAAATGGCCAAGTGATAACATAAATAAAAGAGTTCACACATATTACACAGCCTGCTGCTCATAACTGCTTAAGAGTGCACTGGCCACGAGCGATGAGATCGTGGATGCTATTGTCGGACCCACACACACATTTCACGAGGAAAGTTATCGTGCACGTTATAATCAGCCCAGAAGTTTCGTCTGAATTGCATATGTTTCTACTTTCACATGCAAATGACTTGTTGCACTTATGAATATGATAACTTTCCGGCATCTATTCTAGTAGGGTAAAACGTAATTACGCTTTCGTAACGGTCTGTTTTGCCCTGCCACCATTAGCTGAAGCTGTGTGTGAACAAGCCGCGGCTGCAGAGTGTGAGTTGCTCCGTCTCTCACGCATCCAGAGAGAGAATCTCCGGCGTTCCGCAACAACGCTTAGCTGCCCGCAGATACGCCTGCCTATAAATCGGCCTAATTTGCAGCACAATCGGCTGATGCCGATTAATTTAAAAATGCCAAAAATCGGCCCGATTAATCGGCCGGCCGATCAATCAGTCGACCTCTAGTTTTAACAGACTTTTCTTGATGCACATCTGGAAATGATCCTCAAACGAACACATTCTTGTCTCACGAAGGTTCAGCGACTGCAATGCGGCTCTCTCTGCTGGTTTCGGAGAACGCACAGAGAGTTTTCCTGGCCGCTCTCACAGGACAGGTGTTCCTCTGGGAATGTTCTTCTCGTCAGGATCTGAGCGGCCCGCGGGACACCACAGTCCCCGGACGCTGGAGTCAGATATCAGACCACGAAAACATTCAGCTGCCCTCCACAACAGACAAAGAGGCTTCCGTTCATAGTGTGTTTGTGAAGAACCAGGTAAAAACAACAGAAACACTGATCTGATGCAGATGTCGTTGTTTAGGTTTCTTGTGCGTGTGTTTTGTTTGACTGTGGTGTTTTTAGGCAGTTGGTGACGCGTGTCTGAGCGCATTTGTCTTCATTGCTGAAGCGCAGCTCATCGTCACCTTTCTGAAGATCCAGTGGGACTCGACGTGGGACAACAAACTCAGGTCAGATGATGCTAAATGTGCTTTTATTTATTATAATATACAGCTCTTTTGAACCTATGTTCATTTAAAAGCATTGTTTTGGTAATTGTGCTTATGGCGACTGACTGTTATTATTAATGATAAATGTAATTATTTATTGAACATTGGTCTCTTATTATATTGCTTTTGGCACAATTTTGTAAAAATAAAAAGCCACTTTGTTTAAATTAAATTAAATTAAATTAAATTAAATTAAATTAAATTAAATTAAATTAAATTAAATTAAATTAAATTAAATTAAATTAAATTAAATTAAATTAAATTAAATTAAATTAAATTAAATTAAATTAAATTAAATTAAATTAAATTAAATTAAATTAAATATTAATTAAATTAAAAATTAATTAAAATTAATTAAATTAAATTAAAAATTAATAAATAAATAAAATGTCTGCCTTTATGTTAAAGTGTTATGTTTGCACAATATACAATTATAAAATATGTAAATAAAATAAAAATAAAAAATAACATAAAAATACAGTGCATATATGTTTAAGTTTTATGTTTGCACAATATACAATTATAAAATATGTAAATAAAATAAAATAAAATAAAAAATAACATAAAAATACAGTGCATATATGTTTAAGTTTTATGTTTGCACAATATAAAAGTATAAAATATGTAAATAAAATCAAATAAAAAAGAACATAAATATAGAGTGCAGGAAGATGCGGAAATACGGTAAGGCTCGATCTAAACAACAATTTATTTTTATCAAGTTAAGAATAAAAAATAAATTAACATACAGAAATGTATACATCAAACTTATGAAAATAGTATTATCATAAAAACAACCAATATAAAAAAAAATGCATATATACCGGAAATAATCACAATGTTGTACATGAATAAATGAACAAATAATAAATGAGCAACAGTTACGAAGCAACAATGAAATGATCTTTTACAATATATTAAAGAAGAAAATCTTTTTGCTACAAGGGATACGCCATTCCATTTAAATATTACATTTATGCATTTTAAGTTTCGCACAATATCATATACAAAAATATTAAATTAAAGTAAATTATAAAATAAAATATAAATATAAAGTTAAAGGTGATATACAGTGCAGGAAGAGGCGGTAAACCTGTAAGGGCCTATTTCTTACATTTTATAATTGTTCATTTAATTAGAATAATCAGACACTTTTAACCAAATCAACTTGCGTTGCATTCAAGCTATACTTGTATGTTCCTACATTTCCTGGCATCGTTCTCTGTGTTTTGTTTCACAGCTCAGCAGGTTTCAGTGTTGGCTGGGTCTCTCAGTCGTACCCGCTCAACCAGCTCCTGCCTCCGTGTAAACCGCTGAAGTCCAGAGGCGCTCTGATCCCAGCATTCTCTCCAGACGGTCGACTACTCGCCGTCGTCCTCAACCAGAAAGACCCGCAGGTGAACTCAGCACCGCATTCAGCAGCAGTGAAGCAGAAAACCATCTGTGCAGTGATTAAAAGCTTGTGTGTGTTTGTGTCAGGCGACGCAGGTGTTGTTCATCAGCACTCAGAACTTTGTGACCGTGTCCAGTCTGTTAGGAGGGTGTGGCGTTAAGACGCTCAGTATACCAGCTAAATATGTGAGGTGGGTGATTACAAAGTCTCAGATAGAGGCCATCGGATTGGCTGGCTGTATGCACTTACTAGAGAACCGGTTTAATTTAGTATCATCAATAGTTTTTATTTATAGTTTTAATTTTTATATTTTCCTTTTTTAAAAATTGATTAAAGTTTTAGTAATTTTGTTTGTCATATTATATATATATATATATACGCACATGTATATACACTACCGGTCAAAAGTTTGGGATCAGAACCAGTTTTAATGTTTTTTACAGGAGTCTCTTCTGCTCATCAAGGCTGCATTTATTTGATCAAAAATACAGGAAAGAATGGAATATTGTGAAATATTATTATGATGTAAAATAACGTTTTTCTATTTTAATATACATTCAAATGTAATTGATTTCTGTGATGCGCAGCTGTATTTTCAGCATCATTACT